CGACAGGCACTCCGACGATCGTTATCGCGAGTGTGAACCGGAGGATAGTGACGATGTCGTTTGATCGATAGAAAGAGCTTATCCAGACAACCAGCAATGAAACGATGACCAAAACCAACAGAATCGTTCCAATGCCGTGCAGTACCTGGGTGAAGTGACCGGGCCCGCTGGAAGCGCTTGCAACGAGCGATGCTGCACGCCCAACAAACGTCGAATCGCCGGTAGCTGTAATCACAACGAAAGCCTCGCCGCGCTTGACTGCAGAAGATGCGTAGCACGTATCTCCTCGGTGCTTGTCGACAGCCAATGATTCTCCAGTGATCGAAGACTGATCAACCTGCACGAACGCATTCTCCGTAACGATGCGCCCATCAGCTGGAACGATGACGCCCTCCTCGACTTGCAGAATGTCGCCAGGCACCACGTCAGATGCTTCGATCTCAATCAAAGTGCCGTCGCGTAATACAGTAGCCTTGAGGGCCAGCGTTTTCTTCAGTTCTTCCACTATGGAGCCAGCCTGGTACTCCTGGATGAAGCCTACACTCGCATTTAGGAGGAGTAAGCCGCAGATGACACCAAAGTCGACCCAGTCCTGGAGTCCTGCAGCGAGAATGGCAGCCGCTTCCATGACAAATTGGATTGGTCCGACAAAGAACATCAGAAATTTGACCCAGTTGTTCGTTGACTCCTCTGCATATGGTGAGCAAGTGCTGATGGTGAGAAAGAAGCATAAGTACCTTTCATTTTGTTTTCGCCAAATTTCTTCCGCCGTATGAGTACCTCTGCGGACGTCAAGCCAATGCGCGTGTCAGTCTGTAGAAGTTCTTCTGGGATGAGGCGTGCGCCGCCTGGTTGTTGCGCTTCTTCCTCTTCGTAGTCGGCGTTTTCGCCATCTTGTGACTCTAGATCTTCGATGAGCTGATCTATGTCCTCATCCTCTTCTTCATCGTCCAACTCAATGTCGTCCATGTGAACGTTCTTTTCCTGGAAATGGTACTTGTCGTATGTCTGGCCATTTGATGGATATATGCCGTCGCGATCCGGCGACGTACCGGCTGGCGACTGCATTCAGTCAGCTCTGATTAGACAGCTGGTAGGTCAAGCCTAGTAGTGTTGGGGCTCTATGACAACTTACCTCGGACATCTTGATGTAATGCTAGTCGCTAGTAATGTCAAACACTATATGCAGTTTGCTGTTTGTATGACACAAACGGCCAAGAAATATTTGTCGGTTACGCGAAGCGACTAGCTATGTTGCGAGTGCATCTGCGTCGATGTTGAGTGAAGTGTGGGCCAATGCGCTTTCATCCGTGGAAAGGGCTCCTCTGAAGCATCGTTGCGCGGGAAAGACTTCAGAGCGCAGAAAAACAACCCTGAGCCTGAACACCACGCGGGGTGCGTTAACAAACACAGTCGCGATCGCGCAACGCGACGTTTGTCGTCGGAGGGGCCTGCAGGAACGACCGAGGTGGTTTGGAACGACTCTGACCGGAATGTTGTGAGAACCCCACGGGTTGATGAGGCCACAAGGACGCGCATGATCAGCCTAGCCTGTTTTGCAGTTAAAGGGTCACGTCGAGAACCAGCCGCCAAGATAAGGTGGCCAGCTTGCGGGATCGCTGGGATTGTGAGCTGCGGCGGCCTGCTCCAGGGCTTAAGATTATTAGCTCGGCCCTTGGGGTTTAGTGCATTTGGCATTGCAATCTGTCTGGTATGTACCTAGGTAGTCTGCGTGTCTATATTGCGTTAGTATGAGCAAATGACACCAGACGATAATTTCATCATCTAGAAACCGCACTGTATACGATGCTCATCGTGTTACTTGATTTGATGGTGTTCTGCTCCAGGACTCGTGGTGGTGTGTTGCGCGATAAACTTCCGTGGGTAGAATCCTAAGCCCGCGCCTAGCATGGCCATCCCATGTCACCAATTCAAATCGACCAAATATTGTCACAGATCATCTTCGACATGACGTAGCGCGTATTCCTGTCAGCTCACCGATGACACGCGAGCCTCGCAAGACGATCTATTGCGACTCTTCTAAAAGGCTGGACATGGCAGAACGGAACACGAGGATCATTTGTATGGATGAGCTGTTCATCAAGACTAAGCTTGACAAGGGCGCTGCGACGCACAGGTCATCCTCAATCTGAGTGGCGCATAGTGAAGTTGAGTTCTTCAATCCGTTGACTCGACGCCATAAAGGGTAGATACGACCAACTTCGTATAATTGGGTCTGCGGCAGCGCCAAGTTTGACTTGACCCATTTCGAGTCCTACGCACCCGTCAAGCATTTAATTGCCGCAAATATGGTATTCCGAATTTCATGTCAATGAAGGTCTGGCTAGAAGTGTAAGGAGGTCTTGCCACTACAGCAGTCCATCGCGATGTGTGCGTCTGTAAGACCCCTGAGCAATTGCTGTGCTTTGGGAAGATCTGAGCAAATGTTTTGTAGGGTTCCGGTAAACGCACCGTGGACCCAGTTGCCGTGACATTTCTTTTTCTTGATCTGGAACAGTATCGCTGGTGCACGGTGCACCAACGTGTTTCCAAGGTCGCCTCCGTCCGCCCTCGACGCTACCCATAGCGTGATCGGACCTTTCAAAGCCCTTCTGTCAACGCAGCGACTTGAGTAGGGCTCAAAGGACTGTCCCGCTAGACGTCTCCCGCCGCGCATCATTCGAGAAGCGTTCTTTTCATACACTTGTAACGCATACGTGCATTCCTAAACTCAATTTCCTCGCGGCCTCCTCAAGCAGATCGGCTTACCGTGCTCCCTCTCTCTGGATCCACCGTTCGCGCCTGATGCAACCCTACATTGCCTGCGGAATGCGCGTAGACAATGGAAGAGAACGCGAAGTGTCATCCACCTGAGCGTGGCCGAACCGCGGGATGCCAGCTCGTCTGCTACGCGCCGCTGGGACATAGTAGAGCTGCGCATAACCCCGCTTCTGCTGAGTCTGGTAGGCTGTCCGTTCCACAGATACAGACGGAGAGGTCGATGATCGATGGATAGAGAGACGCGCTGGATTACTGGCTCAATATCGGCGTTGGCTCCTGGCTGACAAGAACTACCCAGGTAGGAACGAGGGAGGTCGGTCGCGTCGATTTGGTGCAGACTCTGACAAGCAGCTCCACGTCTGGACAACCGGAGATTGTGCCCATGTTGCGCGTCCTCCAAGCCCTGCCGAGTATATCTCTTTACCACGAACGTTATCTAGCATTGCAGCCAAGACACCGAAGATGAATGGCAAGTTGGCTGAGGACGCGTCCGAAGTTTGGTGGGGTGTGGCCCGTGCGCGGCCCGAAGACACTTCCACTTCCACTTCAAACTTCGCCCATCTCCACGAAGTTTGTAACTTCATCATTACAGCTACCGCTTGGGGTATGACGCTGTCGGAATCCTCCCGACCGAAAGCTCCTTCTGGAACTCTTTGCGGCCATCCGCTTCGCTAGCACTTATCGCTGCCCCTTCATAGACCTGCTCTTGCTTTCTTGTTCGTTTGGTGTTGTGGAAAAGAGATCGGCTCGCAGCAGCATTTCAGCGACGGCAGTGGGCACCTTTCTACTCCTGCATACTTGAGGTGCTCGCCTGAGTCCTGGTATTATGGTAGGCTATCTGCCATCTTGCGAGGTATCCGTAAGACAAAAAGAGTTGGGATCCAGCGATTGCCAGGTGGGCGGCGGATATCGCACCATCTGTATCGACATACCAGGATACGACGACTGGACATGCAATATGATGGACCGACGGCGAAAGTGTGATACAGTCGGTTCGGGGTTGCCTCAGGTCCCATTGAGGCGTCATGCTCCCCCTTTTCCAAGCCCTTTGTCCGCAACCTGCATCGAGAGGACAAACATCGTCTCGTTGTGTTCGGTGCCGATGCTAGCTTCGTGGGCGCATCGGGTGTCGTCCAGCGTCTGGTATAGCTGTCGCACGGGGAGGGTAGTTGGGTCTTCTGCCGGTCGATGAGCGTCGGAGGAGGCTGCCACTGCCGTCAGCACATCAGGTCTGGCGTCGTCGAGTGTCATCAAAAGGGCGCTCCACTGGAAGGCGTGGTAGTGCACCTAAGATCGCTATAGGAGGCATGTCCGTCGGCAAGCTGTAGTCTGGTCAGCACGACTGGTCGCTCTACCACGAGAAACAGGGTGATGCACTTATCAGAGGCGCCGTCGATGTCTCCTTCAGCCAATGCTCTGCTGTGGATGGTCAAGTCTCAGGGACCCTTGCTGTGAGGGATGTTCGCGCTTGTTGCTGTGAGGGAAAGGGTCGGCTGAAGCGTCGGTTCGCGTAGCTCCTCCGTCGGTCACGTTCTAGCTTGATGCACGTCGGTATAGCTCGCATTGCAGCTGGCTTAAGAGATCTACTCAGGCTCGGTCTGGAATATAGGGAGACTCAGGAGAGCTTCATCACAGTAAGAAGCTTGTCCGATCAGCCTCGTCGTTGCGTAGGCGGCGCTCCGGGAGTTAGCGTATCTCGACGCCCGAGCTCCCGCCCACTGCGTATAAACTCGCTCCCTCCACTACCCCACCAATACTATACATCAGTCGTCGTCCACGATTGTTAGACGGGTATCCGGTAAATTGGCTCGTAAGTTACCCCCGCTGCATAGCTCGGATCGAAAGGCTTTCAGGCTCGCGCGTAACAAACGTTGACAGATGCAGTACGCAGACGCGATACAGAACCGACACGAGTGCCTATCACTACGCACAACCCCCGGAAACACATCATCGGAGTCTCAGTATTCTGAACACAGATCGAGTTCTACTGTGCCTCTAGTACTCCGACATACGATCCTGGAAGACCTCACTGTAAGTAGTAGGCAAGATCGGCAGCTCTCTGGGCCTTTATTGACGTCTCACATAGCTTTCCGGATTAACAAACAAGATCTGCGCGTCTCTATAGCTCTCTTGAAGACCCAAGCCTTGGTATGTTACCTTCCGCCCACTACACGTGTGCGGATAGCTGACATGTCAACTTCTAGCATTCCTAGCTCGACATGTCCAACAGGCGCAAGGTCTGCCACCCATTTGGAAAGCGTACATCTAGACGTCGTGGCCCGCCAAAATCCAAGTACCGATCCAACGAGCCGAAAGAAGTTCCGATCCCCCCATCGCGTAGTCTCATGGTCGAGGTCGTGGACAAATCTGGAGGCGTATCTAAGGAGGTACTTCGGCAAGCTCAACCCAAGCTTGATGGTCTGCCCGACGAGATCCTGTTAATAATCCTCCTTCCTCTCCATAACGACAAAATTACTCTGGACGCGTTCGCCTTGACCGCCAGACACTTTCTTGGTACTGTTCGCACGACAAAATGGATCAACAACCCTATCGCATTACGCTCAGGCCCAGGGGCCGACCCCAAGGCAAACCCAGACCGCGTTCTTGCTCGTCTCATCTACCACTTGTACAATCTATCACATGGTACAACTGCGAGCATTGTCCAAATGTATGCCTCAGGCTTCAAGACGATTTCGATCGATCGGCATCACAACTACATCAACATACTTCCTGCCGATATCTTCACCGCACCCATTATCGAAAGGATGAAAAAGACCATTTACTATATGCCCGGTTTGACCATGACAACCAGGAACTTGTGGCTGCGTCAGGTGCAAGATAGGTATGAGCCGGCAGTAGTCGCCCTTCTGTTGACGTTTCTGTCTGGACTGGAGTCTATCGATCTCAGTGGCGATCTCACATGCCTGTGGTCAGACTTAGCGTCGGTGACTTCTTTCAAGTTGCTCAGCACATTGCATCTTCGACAAATCACGAACTGCGAACTCACTACGAGCTGCTGCAACTTGATGAGGTTACCAAGCCTGAAAGAACTCGCCTTCTTCGACATGACTATCACAGACCAGATATTGCGCAATATTTGTTATCCTGAAAAGCTATCGGTCACAGCTATTCGTCTGATTAGATGCTACATTGCGGGCTGGAAGACGTTTCGCTTGCTTCAACTCTGCAAGAACTTAGAAGTTTTCGAGTACACGATCAACATGGCCCTGTACGTCAAATCATTTGACAGTGACGATAGATGGAACGCCATGTTGTGGGGGTGGCTGCTTTCGCACAAGGCTTCGTTGAGACGCCTCATCCTCACTGGCTCTGGAGGTTCCAACACAGCAGGCGTGTTTCTCGGTGACCTCCGTGAGTTTCACCATCTCCGATACTTGGAAGTCGACCAGAATCTAATCCAAGATGCTTGGCATGCGGATTATGAGACATTGCTGAACCACTTTCCGAAGTCCTTGGAGACGCTCAAAATGAATGAGTGTTCCTCTCAAGTGGCCATCAAGCTTCTGGAAATGGCTGCAGACGCCTTCTGGCCTGAGTTGGGTACCCTGAAGCTGACCTGTCTTCCATGTCTGAAAGGGCTTCCCGCTGTCCGAGCGAAGTTGGATGAGCTCCGCAACGTATGTGAGGAGAAGGGTATCTGGGTTGATGTAGAAGAGTCTGACAATTGACGAACTACACTGGGGTAGTCGTGTTGTCAAGGAGGGTCGAGCTCCTTTACGGGATTTCTTAGCAAACGCGCGAGAGACGCCTTAGCATGCTTTTCTTAGCCACGATTGTACGCATGGGTAGAAACCAGCGGATTAGATGAGCTCGTACTAGAGAGACATGCTTGGATGGTAGTAATGCGGATCTTACAAAACTATCGACTGTTTGGACAAGTCCGCGCTCACGTTCACGACCGTGATTACTCGCAACGCGCACTCTTGTGGTAGTCTTGGGGGGTGCAGTAACGCGTTATTACATTGAGCCGTATAATGACACTGTATCAAAATCGGCTCATGGCAGCTTCTGATGCAGATGAAGCGCTCCTCGTGAACGACCGAACCGTGACCTAGAAGTGAATTGATGTGCAAAGCACCAGATGATGGATGGCGATGGTACCAAAATCTGTAGTGGTTCTGAAACGCGGTCTTTTGGTTTTGAAGTTTCATAGCCAAAGAGCAGGTGCCATGGGCCTGAGGGCAGCGCATTCGGCATGGCCCGGCATCGGAGCCAGCGCATAGACCCATCATCTAATCGCACCTTCTCATCGTCTGCAAACACACACTACAATGCGCGATACACTTCCTGCATACATGCAAACATCGTCCGATGCATCACGACCTCCGCACACTTCGATCGATCTGGGCGCACGTAGCATGCGCTGAAAAGCAAGGCTACTGTAGGGCTGGTGCTCGAACTAGCACTTATCCGGTCCGCACCACACCCTTTTGGGCGCTACCCCTTCGCTAACGCCATTTGGCCCAGCTGAACAATAACCAATTCCAGCATCACCGAATAGCTAGGCGAGGCATACTATATTCGTGTGAACGCCCTCGGTAGCCCCGTAGGCGCCTGTGGGCTGACAACAAGCCTTCATCTGCGAAGGCTGAGGAATCACAGCGCGAGGGCCACGTACTGAACTCCATAGGGCTGGCGTAAGGCTTGAATGCACGGTACTCTGGAAAGTATTTGGTTGGTACTACAGACTTTTGCATCGCGATAGCGCAGTGATGCAGATGTTGGTATGTGATAGGGATCTTGTGGCGTTGCTAAAGGATGCATTCACTGAACTGAGGCCTTCATGTGGCTTGCTGTATTCATCCTGCGCAACATCAGTGCGGTAAGAAGCCCTCTGAGTATTGTTTCGTGCGGTTGATCCATATATCATGCACTTGTTCCTTTTCTTGAGACACGGCTCGCTACCCGACTACCTTCCAGACCCTGCGTTGGGAGTTGCATACGTTCATAGCAGGCCATCTGCACTTCGCTCGTTACTTTCATGAACTCCACTCTCATATCAAAAATCATGAAGCTATTCACCTACGAAACCTGGGGGGTGCCCAGGGCCGGCTTCGATCCGTCATACAACTTCGTCCGTTCGCACTTCGTCTCACCCGTCGTCCTCGCATGCATCCGCGCCTTGCTCAGCATATACTGCTTCACGACTATCATAACATGCTATACTTGGCTGGCGAACGAGACGGCTACAATCAAACTCAAAGATGTGAACATAGGATCCTATACCATCCAACAAGGCAATGCAGCTATCGGGCAGTCGTTCTCATTCTTCACCTACCTCACCTTCTGGTCGCTCGGTTTCTACTTCCTCGTTTCAAGCGTACACACATTCATGTATGCGTTCAGGCAACGAACATGGTTACATACGTGGCCAAAATACTTGCAGCTCTTGCATAGCATGTACTACTCCACCATGACCTCATTTCCGTTCTTGGTCACGATCGTCTTTTGGGGTACCATGAACTCTGGGTGGCCGGCCGGACGATTCGAACAGTGGATCAACATCTCCGTTCACGGTCTCAACAGCGTCTTTGCTGCGACTGAGATCATACTATCAGCAACCGAGCCACAGCCGTGGCATCATCTGTCCGTCGTCCTTGGAGTCTTGTCGATTTACCTTGGGCTCTCGTACCTCACGCGGTATACTCAGGGCTTCTACGTGTATGAGTGGATGAACCCGGCACACGGCAACGCCAGTATTGTTCTGCATGTCTTGGGTTATGCGGGCGGAATGATTGCGCTGTTCGTGCTCGCACGGTACGCAATTATAGCACGAAATATGCTAGCGCGACGACTGCAGGGGTCTGAGGAAATGGAGTATGGCGAGAAAGGCATCCAACTTGAAGATGATCGGTCCGATACTTGGTCGGCGAAGGTCGGGGTGGTCAAGCCGACGCCCATGCGTGTGCAGAAGAAGCCAGAGATAGTCGTTTCCGAAGTCTAGGAGGTAGTGCCGAATTAGCGTCAGGGTTTATGTTAGATATGGATTCAGTCATGATAGGGTTTTGCGCAATGCCATTCTTCGGATATGAACGAACTTCCCCTTTAGGCTATGGAATAAGGCCTTTGTGATCTGGCTTGTGCGCCGTCAACTGAAAGCCTACTCCGGTCCCGCTCATCCATTAAACACACTTCCACTTCTGCATAGGTCGATCCCTGCAGGTCACAGCCTCAATGCAAAAGTATTCAGAGGCCAGGCGAAAGGCGGCTGTCCATGCGAGTTTCATGGTTGGCTTGGAGGCCTAAGGCCGGGCAGTGAGGGGCTGGATGGGAGTGAACTCTCACGCGATCAACAAAACAATCCACAGTTCTCGATGTCATACCAAGGCTGAAGCAATCGAACCCACGGGTGTCGCGGCTACGTGAATGTGCATTGTCGGTGCAGTGGTCTTGTGTACTGTCAGATGCGCAGTTGCCACTTGTTTAAAAGATCTTCCTGGCATCGATGCGCGCAATCGATCTCGTTGATAAGTGCTGTACGATCTCGTCGGAATTGCGAGTTCTTCACTGTCCGTTAAGCTTTGGCGCACTATGTGCGAGAGACGTGTGCACCGCTCCCTTCCTGGCCCACCATGTGATGAACCCGAGTTATAATGGAGACTGAATCTCCTTGACGGTCGCAAGTGTACTCCAGACACACATCACCACCGGGATAATCGACAAAGGGCATTAGACATAATGGAGTGCCTGTAATTCAGACTTGGAACAATTTCTGTGGGGTTTGACGCAGGTCCTCCGTGAAAGTGGCTGATTCGATTAGGCCAGCGTCGTGACGCCATAGCTCGACATCGCCAACTGTCTTACATTGCGAGAGACGATGTCAAGGCGGAAGATGATGAAGACGAAGTCTGCCTTGTTGATAAGCGTCACGCCCAAAGGTCCGTGACTGGAGATTTGTCCTTGGATCGACGACGAAAGCCTTCGGTACCGCTCTCCAGCGCCTTATGGTCCAGTACTAAGAAAAAAGGGCAGTGGTGATGTTTCCTTATTGTTCCGCAGCTGAAAGCATCACGAGACAATGGAATGCCGAGCTGATCTATGTCATCGCCCGTTCGCACTGATGCGCATCAGCACCTGTGCGTTCATGTGGCTCAGCCCAGACGGGCTTTGACGAGATGGGTAAGGCCAGAAACGGATCGACAAGACGCACAAGAAATAAGTATTCCCAATATTCTTGTTGTTGCCGTTGAGAAGGTGTGGTGATATCTGGACGCGACGGTGATGGTTGAGGATGCACGCGGACAGGGGACCGATGCCATGGATGTGTTGCAGCCTCGGCTATGAAGTACTTGCCACGTTGGTGCTTAGCGCGCCCTCTATCTAAAATTAGGAGATAGGGGAGGCAGTGCTGGCGTACTCTCTTTCATCTCAATGGTCCTTGGTGATCGCGTCTTCCGTTACCCATTGCCACCTGCCCGACTCGTTGCATACTCAGAGTAGGATTGTTGCCGCTGGGCGCGTTCCCTCAGCGCCCTCCTTGCTGTTGCGCTGAATGCAGACCTCGGGAGGCGAGCGGCTGGCTGCACAAAGGTCGAGTGACCACGTACCGCCTTGAGCCTCACCGCTTACTGTTCGGTAATATCATGTCAGTATTGCGTAGGGCGTTGGAAGGGTTTCTTAGGTGCCGGACCCGTATCGAAGACGGCGAGCCTCGTTGAAGCTTGGGCGTTTGGCCTGAAAAGTTAGGCCAGCAATGCGTCTCAAAATCCTTTCAGATGAACCCAGATATGGAGTCCTCTAATTTCACATCCATTTCCGTCAGATCTGAGCTTCAATTGGAGTTTCTCTGTCTTGGCCCCGTTGGTATGACTTCAACATGCACCGTTTAAGCAATCTGCACGTCCTTCTGTAAGGATTGTCCCTTCCGACATCTACACATAGCAATTTACCAGCTCACGCCTTACCCCTGCGCCCGACGACCACCGCCACCCCTCTGCTACGCCGCACTAAGGTTGCCAACCATATGTATCGCACCTGTTCCACTGGCAATACCACACACCCGGGATTTCGGAAGCATAGAACAGTTGGAGCTATCGGATCTGCGAATTGGCTATTAGCATCGTTTAAACTCGCTCGAATACTACAGTGGTGCAGTAGCGCAACGCCCTCAAGCCGCACCTCACCTCCACATTCAACACCAAGCTCTTAGGCCTGGTCTGCGCATCCCTGCGTTCAGCCTTGGACATATCTGCATACGGAGCTGCTCTCTTTAGGATGCTACCCGGCGCCCAGCTGCTGACGATCCCGACCGCATCGTCTAACTATAAGCTTGACGACATCTCGTCTACAAGCAAGCTAGTTCTATCCTCCAATCGACTTATTCTCCACCTCCAGGGCGGCTCGACGCACAACGAAGACGAGGAATACATGGCACAACATAATCACCGTTCCAGCCGCTTGCAGACTGAGAATGAGCTGTGGCTAAATATGCCTGCCTCTTCTGCACAACAACAAGAGCATGGCCATCGATTAGAGCCATCGGCCTACAAAGCAACCTCGCAGCGGATCAGTGTATGCCCTACGAGCGGCTCGAACCTTAACAAGCCACTACCACCATCGCCATCCGGTCCAGAGAAGCGATCTCACAAGCCAACCTTGTTGCGAGGGTTTCTCCGACGCGAATCTCCAGAGCAACCGGAGTCAACCCATCTCCGACCTGAACCGTATC